TACATACATACATACATACATACATACATACGTTAGTTGACCACTCCCCATGGGGGCTTTTCAGGGTCAATTCCCACCCATCCCACCCCAGGGGAGGACATCCACGACACAGTAATCTCGTGCGTGGGAAATTAACGTCTCCTACCCCTAACCCTGCAGGAGACGGGGCCTACGGTTTATTCGTCCATATCCGAGAAGACTAGAATATCTATCCATTTCTTGATTATAGAAAGGTAGCAAATTCTCCTCACTTATTTTAAGACCATGAGTATCGGTCCGGCCGGGGCTCGAACCCTCGACCTCCCGCACAACACAATCCGGCGCTCTAACCAACTGAGCTAACCGGGAGGCGGTTATTTTATGGGAGAATCATACATCTCAGTGACACAATGTATTGTCATTAGATAATTCATTTCCGAACATTAATTTGGTGAAAATAACCTTAAAAAAATAAAGAAATAAGCTTTAAATCTGCTGCATTTAGCAGCTAAAAGAAAAAGAATTTTTCGATTTGTAGCCAAAGATAGTAACTTCTAAGAAGAAGACTCGCATCGCGCCGGCAGCCTTCAAGCGCGCAAACGTCAGCGTCCACGACGATCTTGAAAATTTAGCTTTTGAGTAATTTAGAACAGGAGAGCAAATTGAATATGCTTTTAAGGTACTCTTACAAAATTCAAGAGCCAAGCCGCGAAGGGGTATAATTTTAGGCCGATGACTTTGCTTTACAAGAATGCCCGTTGTAAAGATAAAAAGAATTGAAAAAAAAAAATCACTCGTGTTTCGTTTGAATCTTTTCTGATATTATTACATCCCATTCATTTCACAGCCGAAGCAAACATCAAAAAACATTTTAATTGATTTGGCTTAGGCGAAAGTTGCAACCCCAAGCTCAACGCTACTGAAAGTCAATATCACAGGCGAGTAACAACTTTGAAAAACTCACTGCTAAGTTTCACATCTGAGACTGGACCAATAGTTTATACAAATTTATTTTGATATACGGATTTAAAAAGGTCGATTGGCTACAAACTCGTTAATAATATCAGGATGGAATCTCTTACAGCGGAACCTTCTATTCTGTTTTCCAGCATACCATGCATTCGTTAATCGAATAAATCATTCTTTGCCATGGCACAGTTATCATACTTAACATAGATGACTATGTGCCGGAGAGCAATGGGCAAAACAAGTAACCCTGTTTTGGCAAAACTGCTTGTCATCCTTTTTGCAGGCTTGAATGTCATTATCATGGGATACCTGTCGGCGGGTGTTGGTAGTAAAGCGCACGAAGTGCGATTGAGATTTTCGTTTTCGTCATCGCCGTCTGAAGATATGAAGAGACGAACACCATGGGTATTTAAGGCACTCCTCATTTCTCGAGCGACAAACTTCACGTCCAATGTCGTTTCAGTGGATTGGCCGATAGCAAATTTTGCATCGGAGTAAGACTTTAGAAAGCCTTGTTTGAGAGCTTAGTCTTGCCCGATAGTTTTATCTGCATTTGTCCTAGCGACAATAGTAAAAGCAGCATTTAAAATGCTGCCCACACCCTCTTCCAGGAGGGATTTTTTCCAAGCTACGCAACGGATAGCAACGTCACGGTGAGCTTCTCTGAGGACTTGGTACGCTGCTCCAGCGACAAATGTAATTCTAGAGAAGATCGCCCCTGATCCATCCTGGAGACAGGAAAATACTGACTTTGGCGTTTCTACATTAGCTTTCTGTACTGGTTTTTCTGTTGTGTCGCCATTACCTGCTGGTCCCTTGACTGAGATCTAGCGATTCCCACAAAGACTTGGAGTCACCGGGAGAAAATTCAGAAAGTTATGAGTTGCCATTGCACTCCTAAGAAAGTTTTTTTTATTTTTTTTTTTTTTATTGTCAACGGCAATATCGGCACTCAATCAGCGTTAATGAAGATACTCTGAAAGCCATCGTGTCAGTGCCATCTCTTAAAAACCTGGCTTAGATAATCAGTGTGCAATCGCGGGCAAGGAGAAAGGCTTTTCATTAAAGAGGAAAAAATACACTATGGCATACTAAGTTCTCGAGCAACAAGGAGTCTCCTTGGACTGATGAAATATCTTTTTAAAGATGGAGTCGTTTTATTTCATCCATGACTTGAATTAATTTCACACATTTCAAACTCTAATGCTGCACAAGAAAGTTTTCGAAATAGTAAAACATCCTTTCAAAGGAAAAGGATAGTGTATTACTTGGGCGAAATCATGCTTTCGTAGGATACTTTTTACGTTTCTGGTGACCGCTGAAAGAAATACAAAAACCTGCATATTTAACAGGTAAAAATCGAATTTCCAAACTTTTGTAAATTTCTCCCGTAAAATTAGTCGATGGAACCTTTATCCAACAGGAATGTTATGGCAAAATAAAAAAGACTCCGATTTTTTGCGACTGTCCGTCGATTCCCGATATTAAAGAGATTTAGTACGACGTTTACGTGAAACGGCAAACGTCAGTTTGCTCATTCACGTTTCACGTAAAATAGCATGAACCTTGCTGCTTTAGCTTCGCGTAAGTTGGCGTTGTGGTTAAATTGAAGGCGCCCTCGTATGACTTGCAAGGAATAGTTTTGGTGCTCTTTTACCAGCAGTCAACTTCTGCTCTGTTAGGGAAAAAGTAAAGAAAATCTTGCGCACACGGTAAAAGCGAACACTTCTATTATGGCTGACAGAATATCTAACTGATCGAATTCAATGTACGGTAGTAAACGGCCAACACTCAAATGTGCTAAATGTAACCTGCGGGATTCCCCAAGGATCGGTACTTGGCCCAACATTGTTTGCCTTGTACACCAGTGACCTACCAAGTGCTGTTACCTCTGGCTTTGTCTACATGTACACAGATGACACAACCGTTTACTGCATCGGGGACACTGTCGACAACACTGTCACTTCTTTAAACAAAGCTTTATCGGAATTGAACAGTTGGTGCCTAGAGAACTCTTTAATTCTTCACTCGACAAAGGGTGAAGCTATGCTGTTGATGAGGAAAGCGCACATCGGGCCACTAAATTCGGTGACAATTGGGGAGGATCGGATCAAGGAGGTGAAACACTCTCGTCTTTTGGGTGTTACTATCGACGAGAGTCTTTCATTGACCCACCACCTTGCTGATGTAAAAAGAATTTTGTAAACAAACTATGCCTATTGAAAAGGAGTTCGTTCTTGAACAGAAACGCCCGATTGGACTTATACTCCAAGATAATACTACCATCAGTTCTATACGGACTAGTCGTTTGGGCGGCTGCCCTAATGCAGAGCTTCTACATTCGCTAGAAGTACTTCACCGTAGGGCGGCCAGAATTATATAAAACTTACCCCGAGAATTGCCTACCGAGGAAGTTTACCGACATTCGAACTGGAATACTTAAACCCTCTATTATAAACTTCGATTAATTAAACCACTCCATAGCGTGTTTATAGGTGAAGCATCTACGGCCCTGTCATACTTAACAAACAAACCATGCACCCACCACATACAATTTTCGAAGGAGTAATAATATAATCGTCCCGCGTTTTAACTCAGTTTCTTAAAAACTATTAGCTATAGAAGTGCTATACTCTGGAACGCTGTCTCAGAACATTTCACAGACCAGTTTTCAGTTTTTTATCGCAAAGTGAAGATGGACTCTTATGTTAAGGATCTCGATTTTAGCGCACAGTCGGTCCAGTCACTACCCAGGCACTACCAAGATTTTAAATGCTTTTAACTAAATTTATGTTTTAAACGCTGTAGTCAATTTACGTAGAGATAATTAATGTAAATCATTTTTATTATTCTTACTGTATATTTTGTAGAGTGATTTTACGTGACACTATTCTTATTGTTATTGTAATCATATTTACACGACCCCACAAGCTCACAGCTTTAAACCTCATCGTGTTTAAATAAAGGATATGATTGATTGATTGATTGAGCGAAACAGATTACTCTCACATAGGAGCGGCAAAGCGCAACCGGCAAACGCGAAAAATGGCGGGGAAAACAAGGTCACGTAGTCACTCTTGCCGTTCACGTTTTACGTAAACGCGGTGCTAAATCTCTCTATTCTCAGAAATTCGTACATAAAGACATCTTTGAATAGGGTTTATATTTGTTTTCATGATATAACTTGAGCTGAAGTCCTCTTTTCAAACCTTAATTCAGCATCACCATGAGACAGATTGTCCAGCATATCCAGTTGTATGTCAAAAGTGTAGCAAGAATGGAATTCCTAGAGCAAAGGTAAAGTCTATTTCTTAGTTATGATTCAGCTTTTTGTCTGTTTAGAAATTCTCCAATTCAGACCCGAGTTTAATGTTATTTCAAATTCGTCTTTCTTAGGTAGTTAACTTTGAGTCCAAGAAAAGTCAAAATCTGAGACGTTGTAAGGAAACTTGGCTTACTTTAATTTGCGAAACGCAACGAAACGAAATGAAAATTTGTAATTTCGAAGTAGAAATCTGTAATTTGCGAAATAAAAATCTCAAATATACAATCGAAATAAGATTGACAAAAACAGTGAGTGAAACAAACATTTATAAACATCAGGGATTCTCGTATCGCATATATAGATTTTCATTTTCCACTTCACAAAATACAGATTTTCATTTCGCAAAGTAGAGATTTCCATTTCGCGAATTACAGTTTTTTATTGCAAGTTACAGATTTTTATTTCGCAAATGACAAATTTTCATGTCGTTTCGTTTCGCAAATTACGGTAAGCCATATGAAGCAACTTTTCCACTTGTGATTTCATTCGATTTGTTTTCAAATGCTCTTTTTTCCCTAAAATTTGAGTTGTCAAGCTCGGGCTGCGCAGCGAGCACAGGTCATCCACCATTGTTCACAGTCTTTCTTCCCTTTTCTTTCTTTCTTTCTTTTTTTTTTTCTGTCTTTCTCCGCCACCGACCTCAAAATATACCATAATTTTAATTTTGTTTGCTCGTTTGACGCTTATGACATTGCTTATCCAGGCATTACGAAGAATGCGTGTCATATATCAACCTAGTAACGGCCTATATTTAATTGTAGCTTATGGTAGAGTCAGAGCCTCAGTGGCGGGTATCGGAGCACAGAATGCGCACATGTAGGTCTGAGGTTCAATTTATTTATGAAGACTACGTATTTCTTCCATGTCTCACGCTCGCAACAAGATGGATTTCAACTTTTTCTATAGCAGTTTTTCGCTAGCATAGCTTTTTTTTTTTTTTTTACCATGTCTTCTGTTAACATCCTTTTTGTTTTGTGCGACAGCTTTTACAACATCATGATCCAGTCATGGGAGACTGTGATAGTGTACAAGGACCGTGCCCATTTTCACAAATTGGCTGCTCTGCAACCGAGGTATATATTGACAACATTTAATTATGACAATGTAGTATAGCACCTCGATAAACTAATGCCCTCAGAACTCAATGGAAAAGAAAATGTAATCACCTTGAAACACTCCATTTCTAGGAATTCCTATTACCAATTTATGCACGTGTATACACCAAACTCACGATCCTAACCGTGTTGCACTCTCGGGCCCCGTCTAGGCCTAGCTTTTGATACAGAGACATCCGGTTCGGTCACAGTATAGCAGTACATATTTCCTCCAAAGCGTTCGTAGTATTTGCCACATATGATATTATAAGCAAAAGGAAACAACTACTGAAGTAAATGTAGAGAGATATGCTTACGCTCGGTCCTTACAGGATCAATTTGAAAGCAAAGAGACTGAGAAAAGTTTGTGGAAAGCTCTGTTGTGTGTGTGGGTTTGATGGATTATTTGTCTAGTAATGTGGCTCTTGTATGTTCATGAACAATGTTGTGAGAGTACTTCGTCATTTGCGTTGAATCGTCTTTGCCTAGTAGTCGTTGTGAGTAGACCGAAATCTCTCTTAATGGTGCACTTCTCTATCACAGGCCCTTACCCAAAAACAGAGAAAAGAACACCTGGAGAAACATAATACCTTTCACACTACTCTGCTTTTGCATTACGCCATACGAATGAGCAAAGAAATGGAAGCACTTTTAGTGCGTGATCCCAGAATAATGTCGAGGGATCCACACATCGTTTCAAATTACGACAGCGTAATTGCAGATCTTCTCGCTCAAGTTCAGACGCAGGCAGGTGAAACGAGGAATTTACGCGAAAAATGCCAAGAACACAGCGAGAGAATCACCGTCTTGGAGAGAAAAGTGGCCTCAGGAAATCTGTTAGGTGCCGCCGTTACTACTGCCCAAATGCCTGGCGAGTCCAATGGTGGTACGCAAAACCCTGAAATTACACGAAGGGTTACTAACATTGAAAACCGAACCGCTGACCACGAAGTTCTTCTGGTAGAGAACAATCGCACCATGGAGGAAGTTAGACGTGACATGGGTAATATGAAAAGGCAACTTGACACCACACAGGAAAGCTCCAGGAGGCATGACAGAAGGATTGAATCTATTGAGCACACACTGGCTCTTAGAAATGTAACCCTGGCTGATTTAGAGGAATACGTAAGACAGCAAGAGTTCTCAAGCTACGATGGCCAGCTGTTGTGGAAGATTTCTGATTATGCTCGCAAACGAAATGACGCAGTGACAGGTCAGCAGGTCTCTTTCTATAGCCCTTGTTTCTACACCAGTCGCTATGGCTACAAAATGTGCGCCCGCATTTATCTGAACGGGGATGGAATGGGAAGAGGAACGCACATCTCGATCTTCTTTGTGGTCATGCGTGGTCAGTATGACGCGCTGCTCCGCTGGCCATTCAGACAGAAGGTCACCTTCATGTTGCTGGATCAGGATAACGTGGAACACGTGATTGACGCCTTCAGACCTGATCCCAACAGCTCATCCTTCCAGAGGCCAAGAAGAGAAACAAACATCGCCAGTGGGTGCCCGATGTTCTGTTCGCTTTCTGAGCTGAATAATCATGCTTATGTCAGGGACGACGCCATGTTCCTGAAAATAATCGTGGATACGTCTGATCTGTGAAGAGGAACTTTGAGTTATGGTTTGTTACTTGTTTTAAATTTAGTCTTTTTTTTTTTTTGATTTAACATTACCATTGCTCTGACATGATGTGTATATGTTGCATGTAGGTGATACATGGCAGGTGTTATCGTTTGTTTCGTACCTGAAATGAACGTCATTTTTTTTGTTTGACAGGACAGTTTGTATTTTGATTTGATTTTCGCATCTCAAAGTGATGCAAGAAAAAGTCAGATTCCCTTTATTTCTATTATGACAATTGAATCTGTCGGCTTGCTCTCCGTTAAATCGTCAACAGAATACACGACCGCGATCGATACAGTGTAAGTTCTATGTTCGGCATGTCAGAATCATTTAAGGATTGATAATTTATGTTAATATTGCTATGCAATTAATGTAGGTGCAATGTTTTTTCTAAAACGGTAGCCATTTGCTTGAGCGAATGACGTATAATGCCGGGAAGTAAACGTAATGCAGGGTGTATTAGGTGGATTTGACGATCCAACTCTTTTTCTTCTGTTTGGTTGATTTAAGTGCAGTTTTTGGGTTGACTCATTAAAACCGCAATAACTTTTTGTTTAACTCGTAGTAATCAGGCCCGATGAGCTAAGATATACCCTCTAATTAATTAGTTGCCAAGTGTACGCGTGAAATAATTGAATACACGAAAATGAAACGAGTAATTAGCTTTGAGAAACATAATCTTGATTTCGAAGAAACGCATGCTTACAGTGTAGGCGAGCTTCTCTCTTCTTTTTATATTGTGGAATGCCTTTCCTCGGTGCGTGGAGATTTTAGATTTCAGCTGGACTCTGGCGCCATCGAGAGAATATCGTCAACATTTTTATAAAGAAAGTTTAGGAAGGAAGTCGGTTTTGAAACATCTAAGGAGTGAAAAGTCACGCCTTCTGCAGGCTTCTCCGTGAACGACTGAAGTGCATTCGAATCTACTTTGAGACTAAAACTTCAGCCTCGCTATGAGAGCTGACTAATATGGGATCTCAGTCACAAGGAGAAATTTTGGGAATTTTTCCAAAGTGGTTTCTAGAGATGGTCAATCAGAAAATCTTGACTTTGCTTCATCGTTTTTTTTTTTTGGTGTCTTTTGCGCTGACCTCCTCGCGGTAGACACTGGGAACGCTTTTTGTTTGTCAAGTGGGGGTTTCTTTGTGGGTTCTTTTTTCGCTCAAAGCAAAAGCAGTCAATGAACTGGGAGCAATTGGCAGTGATAAATCGTCCGCTGGATCACTGACTTAAGGTGGTTAAACTAAGGGATGAACTGTGGACAGT